TAAGATTTTAATCCAAGGGCTCATATTCATTATTGTTTACTATAAATAGGGGTAGAGAGTGAGGGGTTGAGGGTGTGAAAATTTTTGTAACTCTATTTGGAGAGGAGGGCCACTCTTAATTAAGAAGACCTTTCAAATTTGTAACTTTTGTTATAATTAATAAAATAATTTTTTCACCACTTTAAATATTTCTTCTCTTTGTTGGATGATGAAGATAGAGATGAAGAATTATTTGAAGGTTTGCATTTTTTTATTTTTTCTCTTTTATTTCTTTTTTATTGCGTACTAGTTTAGATTTATTTATATGCTTGTAGTTAGATTTATTTTCTTGTTAAATAGTCAAGAAGCTAGAACTATCTTGCCTTAGATTTATTTCATGCTTATAGGTTAGATTTATTTTTTTGCATTTAATTCTTATAATTTATTTTGTAGTTTAGATTTTATAATTTATTTTATAGTTAAATTTTAATTTTTTATACTATTCACCTTGAGGCTAGAACCCTTTTGGGTTTAGTATTTTTTTTTGTTTATTTTTATTTTTTTTGATTCGCCTTTAGGCTAGAACCCTCTAGGGAATCACCCTTTTCTAAGAAGAGGGTTCAATTTTAGATTACTCGTATCTTTAATTGAATCCACCAAGTTTACTTTCTTGAATTTTATTCTTGATTTTTATTTGTTTCTTGATTTTTCCTTCTTGCCTTGTTGATCACATTTATTTTTTTACTTTGTTTCTTGATTTTTCCTTCTTGCCTTGTTGATCACATTTATTTTTTTATCACTTCCACTCTCAAATATATTCATTTACAGATCACATTTATTTTTTTATCACTTCCACTCTCAAATATATTCATTTACACAATCATTTTCATTCTCTCATTCTCTCCACAATCACACTTATTCTTCACTCCTGTTTGTCACGTACACAACATAAGAACCAATTCTAATTTTCTCCTACAAAACACCTTCCTCGTGGGATCGATAACATTTTATACTATAACTTGATTGATTGTATACTTGTAATTTTTGGGTATATGTTTATGCCGCATCAAGTTTTTGGCGCCGTTGCCGGAGAAGGTGCTTAAGTAGGATTTTTTATTATTTTTTTTCTTTAACTTGTGTGTTTCTTGTGAAAGAACTATTTGGTGATTAAAGATTAAGAATTGGAGATTAAGGAATTAGAGATTCGCTTGTGGTGAGTCTTCTTCCTAATATTTTTAATTCCACACCTTTAGTTAGTTTCTCACAATTAGTGACAATTCGGATCTTTAAAAAAAGATTTTATTTTCGTGATCATAATAAAATTCACCCTCCACTTTGATATTTACTAAAAAATAATAAATTCAAACAAATTCCCCCCTTCTCATTTGTTTGGTTGTTAATCCTAATTAAAAAAAGATTTTATTTTTACCATCCTTTTTAGTCGTTTTTAATTTCTAGGGTTGTATTTCATATAGTTAGTAGGAATTCACCAAAGTGACCATCCTTTTTAGTCGTTTTTAATTTCTAGGGTTGTATTTCATATAGTTAGTAGGAATTCACCAAAGTGATTTGAGCATCTTGATTTTTCTAGGGTTGTATTTCATATAGTTAGTAGGAATTCACCAAAGTGATTTGAGCATCTTGATTTGGCACATACTTAAAAATATTTTTAAGGGCAAAACCCCCTAATCAAGATAAGGTGAGGGATTTCATCACCTTTTTCCTAGCACAAAAATCACTAATTCCTCACTACACAATCCAAGCCTAATAAAACTCATTAGACGTTGGCCCTAAGGAATCAAGCTCAAAAAGGAACAAAGAATCTTTAGTGAACTGATTTATGTTTTCTTGGATTAGTTGGTGTCTAAGGTAAGATTTAAGGGTTGCGTAAAGTCCTCTATAAGGAACGAGGTACTTAATCGATCTCTGATCAACCTTTGTTCCTATCCTTACCTGACTAACTAACCGAGTAAAACTTTTATCGTTTCACTTAAGGAATTTTTGGTTAGGAGCTGGTCTAGCTGAGTTAGGCTTAACCCTAGAGTTAAAGTGATTGCAAAGTGATTGTTTTTGTTTGTTTTAGTTAGGTTTTTCCTTTTTCTTCTCATAAAAAATAAACTAACTTTTGTTTTATCTTAAAAAAATGGTATAAAAGAAATTGTTTTGGGTTCATGCAAAACATGGATTAGGGATAATACACATCGACAAATTCGTTTTGAACAAATTAAAGTAATAGCTAATCCACATGTTCTCCAAGATTTATGTTATCCCAAAAGGATAGAAATCCCCAATGAAGCTCGGCAATTTGTAGAGAGCCCATCTCAGTATTTGGTGAATGATCCATTTTTTCCAACCTACAATCCAGGTAGGGCAAATTACCCAAACATTGCATGGAATCAGGGAAACCACTCCGGAACTCAAAACTCCACTCCCTCTTCGATCCAACATTTTCCTAGGGGAAACACAGTTCCTTTCAATTCTCATCCATAATTTTAATAACCCAATCTGTCACATCAAAATCAGTCTCCTCATCATCAAGTTGTAACTCACACTCCTCTTGATACTGATTATGATGAACATCTTAATATTTTGGAAAAATGTTTTGAAATCATAATTTAGGCATCCACACTAGCCACGGATATGTTAACTCAAACATCCTACACGATGAACTTCTTTATGCAATCAACTGAACTCATACTTAACTCTAACACTTAAGCCATAGCTAGATTAGAAACCCACATTGATCAGCTAGCTAGTACCATAAGTGAAGAAGAGGAAGGAGAAATTCTGAGTCAACCCGTGGTCAATCCTAAAGACACTCAAATGAATGCACTACAGTCAAGAAAACAGGTCGATAATCAGGAAAGAACACCTTTAAGCCAAATTCTTTTTCCAATTCATTCTCCTTCTGATAACTTAATTCAGGAAAGACCAGAGGAAGAAGAAGAAGAATCAGATCCAAGTTTTGAGAAAATTTTTGGTGAGGAGCTAAAAATATTAGGAGAAGCAGATCAGGTTTGTCAAAATAAAGAAACCGTGTTAAACAATTGCTGCTTTGAACTGAATTTTAAAAAACTCTTTCTTGATGAACTAAGATTTTTGGAAAATAAACAACAATCAAATTTTTACACCTCAGCCCTGAATCTTAGGGTTGAGGAAAGTGTTAAAGAAAAATTGGTTGTTAGAAAACAAACATTCATAAATCAAGAATCTAAGTTCAAAACGTATGACACCAATAATATCTACCTTCCATTACCACAAGAATTATTAAACACCCCGATATGCTTGGAATTTCAGCACAGTGTTGATTATATCATTTTGAATTTATTTAAAATCCGGGGAAGAATTTTCAGCGATAAGGTAGGATTCAATATAGAACACGAGCTCTTCATGTTGAATATTTCAATCTACATTGTTTATTTCACCATAATAAAATCTTCTCTCATTTTAGAGTTTCTTGTTCAGTTTTACAAAAGAGGAAAAAAGAAAAAAATAAAAAAAAAAGAAAGAAAAAATTTGGAAAAAAAAGAAAAAGAAAAGAAAAAATATATATAAATAAATTAATTGATGATTTCATCCTCCACAAGACCAAAGGTAATTACAAATTTTTATCAGTTGACCAATTATAAGTGCTTCACTTCTTATCTACTTTACTTTGTGCATTGAGGACAATGCAAAATTTAGGTGTAGGGGTGGGAATTAGCTATTTTTTTCCTTTTTTTTACCTTTTTTGTTGTATTTTTTATTTATTTTTCTTTCTTAAAAAATTATAAAAATATTGTCACTTGCCGAATTGATAGAGTTAAGTTATAATTGATTTATTTGATAAATTTGAAATTTTCTAATCCCTAGTTGATTTTTTACTTAAGTTCACCTTTTATGATAACTCTAAATAAATTTCTTAAGAAATAATTTTTAAAGTAGTATACTTTACTTAAGCCTTAACTTGGACTTTTATTTAAAATAATAAAATTTTAGCATGCTTAGCTTAGAGTTAAAAATAATTTTTCAAAGTGTCATGATTTACATATTTTTCAGAATATATATACATATACATAAAAAAAAATTGTAAAAGAAGAGTGCGAAAAATGGGCATAAAAAAAAGAAAAAAAACTCTTGAATTCAAGATGATTCTATCTTATAAAGCCAAAGCTGACCGAGTAATTAAGCCCAAGGAGTATTTTCATACTTAATGATCTAAGCCCAATTGGGTTGGGATCCATTGGCTCAAAACTCGTTAAATGGTCACTTACAGGCAATTCATAAACTTGGAAAGTTTACTACATATAATATCACAGTTTTGAGTTTTCCTTCACGAACCCAACAAAAGAGCTCAATCGTATGCACCCATAAATGAGGCACCAAAATATATTTATGCACATGCAAGTAGCTGATGTATTTTCCTTATTAGCTAGGTATTGTATTATCACTTACAGGGCCAGCCAGAGCTGAGACAATGCATGCAACAATATTGGTTGCAGAAATTGCATAATTTTCTTGCCTGCTCTCTCATGCACATAAAACTCTTTTTATATTGACTTTTTTGTTTCTGACTAATTCTGCATACCTCCCCTTTCTCTATTTGGCATTTTCCTATTTACAATTGCATTTATGATTTTGTGATTTTCAATTCTAGAATTGTGTAATGTATCAATTTTAATTGCAAGCAGCCAACAATCTGACTAGACAATTCACAAGTTATGTTTTCCATTTTTTATTACTATAGCGGCAATAATGATTTCCCTAAACACTCTGACACTTTATGAAGATTATTTCTTCTCAGGACTCATGGATTGTTAGGATAATTATGGTGATGATTTTTTTATGGATTCATGGTTTAATATATGGTGAGCTTGTAATGGACCCACAACCTTCAGATCTTCAGATCCGAGTTCTAAGAGATGTAACAAAACTTCTTGGATGCAGACATTAAGAATCACTCATGATTTGTTTTTGTATAATTGTAAATCCACTATATTTTCCCCTTGAAATCCCATATCAAAGACCCGGATCCAAATCCCCTTAATAGAATAGCTGTTTAATTAAGAATAGCTGATGACAACTGTTGTTCTTTATTTCCTTGCTCTTTCGCCTTCTGAAACAAACAGACACAAACACGTACACATTTTGCTTTGTACACAAACATGTATACAAACGCAATTAAAGCCAAACATGAATGATTCATATAAACATATATGGCTGTTAAAACATTATAATTTAATTAATCAAGTAATATGTACACTAAATATGCTCAGGTGAGTAGTCATTGAGCTTTTGTTAAACCAGACATAATGTGTGTTAATTGAGGCTGAATTTCATCTCAAGCATTAGAAATTGTACCTGCTTCTGGAATCTTTGTTTTGATAGTTATATCCTAAAAGCTTAAGTTGTGGATCAAAAAACTTCAAAACTGTGAGTTTCCTCAATTGTTTGGTGTGTTACTTTGATATACATAACATTATATGTTTTGGTGTAGATTAGTGAATGGTGTGTTTTTGTTTCGTAAGGCTGACTCGTTAGATAAATTTGAAAGAAATTTATCAAAAACTATAAAACCATATTTATGCTTATATGTATATTCATGCTTACAAAAGGATATTCATGCTTATATGTATATTCATGCTTAACTGTACTTGTAGCAAAGATTTGATGTCGAGGACTATGAGAACGACCTAGTCATCCAAGATTCCATAAAGAAAAAGTGTCAGAGTATATATAGAAATTGGAAGCATGAGTTGCACGCCTACTATCTTGGTTTAATAGAGAAGGGAGTACCTGATCCCAAGAACCATCCACCGAAGCGTGTGGAGCCCAATGATTGGGTATCGATGATCGATGTGTGGGAAACTGAAGAATGGAAGGTATATATCTCAAATCACTTTATTAAATTGTCATGTTAATTTTATTTGTTGTGATATATTTTAATAATATATTTTATATTGGTTATTAGACAAAATCTTATAAAGCGAAGGAGAGTCGATCAAAGTTGCCCTACAATCATATATCTGGTTCCCGATCATTTGCAGCAGCGATGTCACTAATCGTAAGTTTTGCTTTATAAGTTTTTACTTTTTAAATAAATAGACTATAAATAGTTATTAACAACCATAATGATAAATTTATTAAATTACAGAAATCAAAAAATGATGGGCAAGCTCCATCTTTTCCGGAATTTTACAAGGAAACCCACTACCAAAAAAAAAAGAAAGTATGGGTAAACGAGAAAGCACAAGATACCTATGTACGTATGTCCAATTTACTTTTGTTAAATCAATCTATAAAAAACTTAAAAATGATATGGATCTTGCATCTTTAAAAATGACAGGAGCAATTAGTCAACAAGACTACCGAACAATCTCAGTCCGAAGTTACATCCCCGATGAATGAGTTTGAGATCTCCATTGAGGTACTTGGAAGGAGACCAGGTTACCTGAAGGGGTATGGGATCCACCTTCGAGGGAGTTCATCTACCAGGTCTCTTGCAAAGTCAGCTGAGCGAGATGCTGAGGTCGTGGCTTTAAAGGAGACAGTAGCTGTGCAAGCCGAACAAATTGCCTCACAAGCCGAGCAGATTACCTCACAAGCCGAGCAGATGAACGCACAAGCCGAGCAGATGAACGCACAAGCCCAGAAGACTGCTAAACTTGAGGCTTTAGTGCATCAGCTATTTGCACGTAGCCAGCCTGCAGCGAGCAGTGGTAGTAGAGATTTCTCATCGAGATGAGGTCAGACTTGCATTTAATTTTTCATTATTAGACTTACTAGTATTTAGACCCGTGCAAAGCACGGTTTCTAAAGATTTCAACAAAATCAATAAATATAAATTGGTCATGAGATTAAGAAGGATAATATCTATAAGGGAGGGCCAAACGATCCTTCAATTTGTACTGAGCAATATGAAGCCTAAAATTTTGCTTTAATAAGTCGCTCAATGGCATTAAGTTATTGACATTTCTCTTTTTAATTGCACAAATTCCAGCTTCTAAAAGACCAATAAGCAAACTCAATCCAACATCTAAATTAATAATGTATATTAGTATCAGGAGTAATATTTTATCTTGAAAAAGTGTTATTCCAAAAGTGAATAGGAGCAGCGGATCAAGGTTTGGCATGTAAAGATTTCCAGATCGAAAAAGTGTTATTCCAAAAGTGAATAGGAGCAGCGGATCAAGGTTTGGCATGTAAAGATTTCCAGATCGATCCATCTCCAGTAGCACATTTTCTTTGGGTATTATGATGGATAAATATGACATATGCAAATCTCTGCTTACTAACTTTCTTGAGTTTGGAACTGGTAAGCTGAAGAACATCTGCAGATCTTTTTTTTTAATTTCTCATAGTCTGCTGTACATAAATTTTGAACATGTTCAGCACGTGTATAGTTTTTCTTTTTTTATCAAACATCACGTGTATAGTTAAGAGAGTGATTTGTTCAAAGTCTTGACCCCCCATATGCTGATGCTAAAATTGAGGTAGGTTTCTATATGACTCTCTTTAGTTGCTACCATCCTTCATTTTCTCCTATCGGTACCTGGAACTCTCATTATTATCCTTTACTAGTTCTGCCTAATATTTGTTCCTTGCCACTGATAGTATATCTTTGCTACATATCCTTGCACACCTTTATCGACATGATCATTTTGGTACATGATCAGTTCACCTTCTCATGTAATGATACATTCAGCAAGTATTTTTAGTGTTTGTTTCATGGATATGTTAACAAGGAATACCTACATGATGCGAGCTATTATATGCTTTTCCTTTTCTTCCATGGTCAGGTGCTTACCATATCTGCAACTTGGAATAACAAACCATTTCATTTTTCTTTGGCCGAGTGTTTTTCCATCTAATAAATATCTTTATTCGTATGCAGAAAACAATGCTCTTAATGCAGGTGTTGCTGTTCGTATGCAGAAAACAAAGTCTCTTTAGGCACTTAATGCAGATACTCCTCCTGTAATCAACTATTTGTAATTAATGATACAAATTTGAGATTGTCGTTTCTAGTTTTCTTGATGTAATCTGTTTTTGAGAGACTTTATGTACTTGGGTATGCAAAAGGAAGTTTGTAAATTAACGCTTTTAGCGCTCAAGGGGAAATGGAAAAATAAACTTTTATGTTGATGTGAATGGGAGCAAATTTTTTTGGATGTTCAGATTCAGTGTAGGTTTGTATGTGACAGAAAATATATTACTTTTGGCGATGCAAATTAGTGTCGATAAGCGTTACTAAAAGTAACACTTTTGTAGACGTTATTTTATCTTTTAGCGATGCAAATATGCGTCGCCAAAGATGAGATTTTTAGCGACGCTATATTCTGCGTCGGCAAAAGTATACTTTTGCCGACACAAGTATGCGTCGCCAAAGATGGCCTTTTAGCGACGCTACATTCTGCGTCGGCAAAAGTATACTTTTGCCGACGTAATTATGCGTCGCCAAAGATGAGATCTTTAGCGACGCTATACTCTGCGTCGGCAAAAGTATACTTTTGCCGACGCATTACCCTTTGCCGACGTTACCTACGTCGCCAAAAGTGTAAGATTTCCCGACGCAACCATGCATATGGAAAAAATACTATATGCTTTTGCCGACGCAAATTGTTATGCGTCGCTAAAGGTTGTGCTTTTCCCGACGCATCATGCGTCGCCAAAAGTGTTGACTTTTCCCGACGCAGTGTGTTTGCGTCGCTAAATATTTTCCTTGACGCACTTTTAGTGACGCATTAGCGACGTTGCATTTTGCGTCGGGAAAGATTTTTCCCGACGTTTTTTAAACATTTGCTGATGTTTTTATTTTGTCGGCAATGATGTATTTTGTTGTAGTGGTATGACACCAATAATACCTACCTTCCATTGCTACAAGAATTATTGAACACCCCGATATGCTTGGAATTTCAGCACAGTGTTGATTATATCATTTTGAATTTGTTTAAATTCTGGGGAAGAATTTTCAGCAATAAGGTAGGATTCAATGTAGAACACGAGCTCTTCATGTTCAATATTTTATTATATATTGTTTATTTTGTTTATTTCAGCATAATAAAATCTTCTCTTATTTTAGAGTTTCTTGTTCAGTTTTGTTAAAAAGAAAAAAAGAAAAAAATTCGAAAAAAAAGAAAAAACATTTGAAAAAAAAGAAAAACAATATATATATATATATATAATATATATATATATATATATATATTGATGATTTCATCCTTCACAAGACCAAAGGTAATTGCAGATTTTTATCAGTCGACTAATTGTAAGTACTTCACTTCTTATCTTTTTTACTTTGTGCATTGAGGACAATGCAAAATTTAGGTGTGGGGTGTGAATTAGCTATTTTTTCCTCTTTATTTTACCTTTTTAGTTGCATTTTTGCTTTTTTATATATTAAAAAAAAGTATAAAAATATTGTCACTTGCCAAATTGATAGAGTTAAGTAATAATTGATTTATTTGATAAATTTGAAATTTTCTAATCCCTAGTTGGTTATTTACTTAAGTTCATATTTTATGATAACTCTAAATAAATTTCTTAAGAAATGATTTTCAAAGTAGTATACTTTACTTAAGCCTTAACTTGAACTTTTATTTAAAATAATGAAATTTTTGCATGCTTAGCTTAGAGTTGAAAATATTTTTTTAAAGTGTCTTGATTTACATATTTTTCAAAATATATATACATATACATAAAAAATTATAAAAGAAGAGTACGAAAAATGTGCACCAAAAAAGAAAGAAAGAAAGAAAAAACTATTGAATTCAAGATGATTCTATCTTGTAAAGCCTAAGCAGACCGAATAATTAAGCCCAATGAGTATTTTCATACTTAATGACCTAAGCCCAATTTGGTTGAGATTGATTGGCTCAAAACTCGTTAAATGGTTACTTAGAAAGCCCATAAAGTAGAAAAAAATAACCAAGGAAGAAAGTGTTAAAAAAAGAATGAAAAAATAATATAAATAAAAATACTAATAAATGTTATATATATAGTTACATTTGTATATATGGTCTTGTAAAATATTTTAGATCAAGTAACGTGAAAATTATTTAAAATAATGAGTTAGCATGTTCTTTTCAAAACTTTTAAATTAAATTTCTAAGTTTGGCTTGGTTTTGTATTGCTATATTGAGAAGATTTTCTAGGAAACTTATCTTAGAGTTATATATAAAAATGTTTTCTTGAGTAATAACTAGCGTCAATTATCAAGTAAATTTAGTTATTTACTAACTTCTTTAATTTGGCAAGATGACCGAATTTTGTGGGTATATTCATTTCAAACCCTCACGAAACTACAACTCGTCCACTAAGGTAGCCTAGGGGTTAAAAGGCTTGTTGTATACGCTAAATACAACAGTGATTCTTGCTAAAGTGAGTTAGGTTTTCTTTACTTTTTCTTTCTTTGCTAGAGGACTAACAAAAGTTTAGGTGTGGGGGTATTTGATCATCATATTTTATTATAATTTTATACCATCATTATCTATTTTATATGAATAAATATGCCATTAATAATTATTTTTATCTTTAATTGCAGGTTAATGAAGAATAAAACCCAAGATCTCATCTCTCAACAAAAACCCATGAATTAAATTAAGAACACAAGCAAGAGCCAAAAAGCCCAAGCCCAGAATCAAGCCGAGTAGCCTGTAGAAGCCGGAGAAAATAAAAAAATCAAATATGAAAAAAAATTTATTCAAGATAGTTAGCCGCAAAGAAACGATAATATCTCTCAATCCGGAAGGCGGAATTTAACATATAATATATGAAAATCGCCTATATCGACGAGATAAAGCCAACTATGAAGGAAAAAATTTGATAGGACATCGATACTAGCATCGATGTGGGCATCGATGCCGGCATCGATGCCGGCATCAATGCCAACATCGATGCTAGCATCGATACTGACAATTCTGTTACGAATTAAGGGCTGATTTTTAATGGTTTTGGATAAGATTTCAATCCAAGAGCTCATATTCATTATTGTTTACTATAAATAGGGGTAGAGAGTGAGGAGTTGAGGGTGTAAATTTTTTTTTAACTCCATTTGGAGAGGAGGGCCACTCTTAATTGAGAAGGCCTTCCAAATTTGTAACTTTTGTTACAATTAATAAAATAATTTTTTCACCACTTTAAATATTTCTTCTCTTTGTTGAATGATAAAGATGGAGATGAAGAATTATTTGAAGGTTTGCATTTTTTATTTTTCTCTTTTACTTCTTTTTTATTGCTTATTAGTTTAGATTTATTTCTATGCTTGTAGTTAGATTTTATTTTCTTGTTAAATAGCCACGAAGCTAGAACCCTCTTGCCTTATATTTATTTCATGCTTATAGGTTAGATTTATTTTCTTACATTTGATTTTTATAATTTATTTTGTAGTTTAGATTTTTATAATTTATTTTATAGTTAGATTTTAATTTCTTATACTATTCACCTTGAGGCTAGAACCCTTTTAGGTTTAGTTTTTCTATTTTATTTTATTTTTATTTTATTTGATTCACCTTTAGGCTAAAACCCTCTAGGGAATCACCATTTTCTAAGAAGTGGGTTCAATTTTAGATTATCCATATCTTTAATTTAATCCAACTTTACTTTCTTAAATTTTATTCTTGATTTTTATTTGTTTCTTGATTTTTCCTTCTTGTCTTGTTGATCATATTTATTTATTTATCACTTACACTCTCAAATATATTCATTAACACAATCATTTTCATTCTCTCCATCTCTCCACAATCACACTTATTCTTCACTCCTATTTGTCACGCACACAATATAAGAACCAATTCTAATTTTCTCCTACAAAACATCTTTCTCGTGGGATCGATAACTTTGTATACTATAGCTTGATTGATTGTGCACTTATAATTTTTGGGTATATGTTTATACTGCATCACAACACCTTCAATTAGCATTGCAGAATTTGTGGGAGCACCAGTTATATGTTAAGTTTAGCAAATGCGAGTTTTGGATTTTAGAGGTCAGATTTTTAGGCCACGTCATTAGCAATGAGGGCATTGCAGTTGATCCAGCTAAAGTCGAGGTAGTTATTGATTGGGAGCCTCCTTTGACGTCCATGTTTTCACACATGACTGTAGTTCAAGATGAATCCAGAGATGTCAAACATGTCATGCACCCACACTATGCAACAACAAGTTTTATCAATCACAACAATATTCTCTAGTGGAATCAAAATAAAATGCAGGTACAAAACAGGCAAAAGAAAGGAAATAACTACACTAGACATGATATAAAAAGAAGTATCTCATAAATAAATTCATGTCTCAATGAAAAACCTGGAATACATCTGATATCTAAAATGAATAAATATGTCTTGACAAGAAACAACTGAAAATCGTACTAAGGCACACTGCCTTTACACTATGAACTAAAATCTACGGTTTAAACAAAAATATAAAACTATGGTGGAGCCTCTAATAAATCTCATGTGACGACAACTATACAAGAACTCTGTCATCCTGCTACTATCTGATACTCCGAATTACCTGAAAGAATATTAGAAGAAAAAGAGCAATAACAAGAACGTCAGAGCGCTATAGTAAGATCACCTCCATCCGCCCCCAGAGGAAGGGCTACTAGATAGAGTGGAGGCTCTATCTATTAAGCATAGTCTACCTAAATCATTTTTTCCCATATCTAATGGAATTAATATTTAGACACCTACAATACGAGACGTAGTATGTTGAGCGAAATAATCCAAATAAGAAAACCCTCATGTACATACCATATGTCTCGAATTGTAAATATCTAAACATTAATACTGAACTAAAGATAAACAATCTAAATAAAATCAACAATTAGAAATCTATAACAGGAGCGTCGAGCAAAATAATCCAAACAAGGAAACCCTCATGTATATACCATATGTCTCAAATCGTGAATCGCTAATTATTAATCCCAACTAAGAAAATAAAGAAAAACAGTAAAAGAAAGTAAAGACATCAACATATCATATTCATAATATCTTCCACTATCACTGGTAAGATAGAATGAATACCGGCACAAATCTCGTGTACTCTCAAATGTAAAGTACTTTAGGTCATATATTTCAGAAGTGAGTCAAAAACATAACTGGCATCCGCCAACAACTCGGGTTATTATTTAACTATCTTAATTCAACTTCG